ATATCTCTCCATTCAAAACTTTTGAGGCAGCACTCTGCGTCGTAGTAGCATCCATGCATTATAATCTGAAAGTTCAAAACACTTTTTTCCAAAATAGATATAAATCTAATATTGAATTCTGAAAATTGGTTTTTCTAAGACCTTGAACTGATTTTGTTCGCTTTTATGTGCTGTTTATTGAACAAAACAGCACATAAAAGCAAGTAAAATCAGTTCAAGGTCTTACAAAAACCAATTTTCAGAATGCATTATCATTTTTGTATCAAGTGTATCACGAGTCCATCCATGAAATTTGAAAATTAAAACGCATTGCAGAGAACTGCCCTCTTGCTTGTTTTCGTTGCTGCCAAATGTGATTGGTCGATGAGTGGAGCCGGTTTGTTACGCGCGGGATGACCATTCTACAGAAAAATCCCGGATCTTAACCTTCTCATAAGATTTGTTGAAAATCTATTTTTACAATTTTCTCACAATTTCTAAAAATTTTTCTTCTTATAGCTAACAATAGTTTTTGAGACCTGCAATCAACAAAAAATGTATCAAATCAATTCAAGAGGAACTTTTAACGTAAAAAATTTTAACTCTTAATTCTTGTTATGAAATTTGAAATCAAATTGATGAAGAGTGCGCAGAGGCGCCAAAAGTTACGGTCCTATTAGAAAAATTAGAACAATAGCAAAAATTGGAACAAAAACAAAACATATTTTGAAAAAATCTATAAAAACTTACATGTCGAAAAATATTAGAAACTGTCCTTGACGAGTATCTGAAAAGGTCCAATTTTTTTTCAAACCTCTACAATTAAAAACGAAGAACTAAAAACCGATATCAATTTACTTCAATATTGACCCTTCTTTAAGTGTAACATAAAATTCATTTATAATCAAAAATATCAATTTTTGCAAGCACCTACTTCGTTATTTAGCTATTCAACAATACTAAACGCATTCATGACTCCTACAACGACACACAGCGCGAAGATGAGTTGGAAGCAGCTATCGGACAATTTCGAGACTTTTTTGCAGAGATGTTGACGGTGTATTTCAAGTGTCTTCATTTCGCATCGACAGGATTGAGAGACGAACGAAACCACGCAAAATCTACATATCAAATGAGCATTTTCTTGCTAGTGTGGTCTGCAATTTTGAGTTTATCGATAAATCAATTTTGCTCCTCATTTAATTAAAACCTGATTTGAATTTTTTCTGTATTTTAAAAAATATAAGTTTATTACTATACCAAGGTTTTACCAGATTAAGAAGCAGCTCAGTTCAGTCAATTAGCAGTGTGTTTAGTTCGACGGATAATCGGCCCATTTGGTTCAAAAACGCTCGAGAAACGGTACAAGTTTGGTGCCGCAAGTTCAAGTTGTTTCAGCTTTTAGCAGACGCAAATTTTTTGAATGTAATTGTAGTTGCGCCTGATTTCATTTAATTCATAACATTCGGGGTCACAATATCAATTTGTCGCTCGAAGACATGGTAATAAAGTCAAGAAAACTTGTTTTTTTTTTGTAGCTGGCTTTTTCTGCAAGTGCTCCAAGCGCTCCTAGGAGTTGGAAGGGACTATGACCAAGAGTGGATTCTTCCCGAGAAAAATCAAATACTTGAAACACTCTTTGTGCATCAAATGTGATATCATATTTAAGCATCTTAAGAATTGGATTCAGAAAAGATGTTATACACGTTTTTAGGAGTCAATTGTCAAGAAAAACTGGTGTGAGTATTTTGGCTCATCAGAATTATTCGAACTGAACAGAGCAAACTGCAACAAGCATCCCGGCTCGAGGTTTGCGATTTATGTTTCGATTTATGAGTTCGAGCGTTTTAATTTGTACTTTATATGGCGTGTGTGGGGATGTTTTTACAACAAAATCTCAAATTAAAATTAAAATTCAGCAATGAAAAATGCTGCCATTGCAGGGCCGAATTTTTCATAGTTTTGCGAATTTTAGGATCCTGGAATAGAAAAACGAGTTTTTGAACATGTTTATAATTTCTAAGTGGAATCCGGTTACCAAAAAGTTGCGAAATCCACAAGCAAATGCCTTGTACTGCAAACTTTTCGGCACATTTTTTGTGGAAGGATCAAAAGTCTTTAACATCATATTTGCGCAATGCTTTCATTGCCTCGCCGAGCTCGGGCAGTGTGGTAATAAATTAAATTCCAGAAAAGTTGTCAACGAATCACTCATAGTTTGGGCCGAATATCTTAAAAAGGTTCGTAAATTTTTTTTACAGAAATTTGATGTTAAAATAATTGAAGTGTGCAATGGTTCATTGCTTTTCATTGTAATTTTTGTTCATTAAGTAGTTTTTTCTTTAATTTTTTTGCGAGATGTGAGCAATCTGATATCTTCAGAGTGAAATATATTTTTGAAGCAGCCTCTTGCCGCTGATTGTTTGCTTTTTTTTGTTCAATCGATTCTGGGGTATTACCTTTAGTGTTCTCTTGTTTACAAAAAATTATTTAATATGGTCATATTTTCTACCTAAAAAACAGAACTTGAGTTTCCAGTTTGTCAGCTTATTTTTTCTGTTCAATTGTAAAATTTGTAGCTTTGGTAAGAAAACTACGCTATATGTTATATGGGATAATAGTTAAAGATCTGAACAATTAAATAATTTTTTTAAGGTAACTACGTTCCTAACAAATTATAGTGAACGACTTCATTTAGCAGCTTAATTTTTTAAGGGTACTACATGCTTGACAAGCTATAGTGAACGGCTTCCTTTAGCGTGTACTAAAAACCCTAAAACATTCTCCAAATAAATCATAGTTTTATACTTGGCTTTTTAACAATGGTTTGTGATTATTAAGAGAAACTGAGTTTATACCTTTTTCAAAACTGAAAAAGTAAAAAGTTATTTTCTGAAATGATATATTTTTCATGCATGCGATGACGTCATCAAGCATTGTTTAGCGTGTACTTGCATTAATTCTGGAGATTTTTGGTTCACTTTCAGACTTATGTCATTTGCAACTGCATAGCCAGATTTTGGTTTTTCAAACTGAAGTTTTCTGAAAGTGCTATAGCCGTTTTTGCAAAACCCACTTATACACTTTTTGAAAAAAAATTATTGCGAGATTTTACGTTAAAAATTTAGCAGGATTCAAAAAAAAACGATTGCAGGTTTATCGCCATCGCAAAAAATTCAATTATTTATTTCATTAAACAAATCCACATTGTAGACAGAAGGTTTTTTTTTGTTTGAAAACCAAAATATTTTCAAACATCATATTTAAAGCTTTTTGTCTGTGTTTCTAGATAAAAATGATAATGAAACTTCTTCGTAGAGTTTATCAAAAACTGGCGTCACAAAGATTGGTCGATAACTTTCCGCTACTCTATCATTTCATTTTTTATATCGTTGTAATGTACGCTTCTTTTTAGCTTATCCGAAAAAGTATTCGAATTGATACATTGATTTACTTTGAACTGTAGTTTTTCACCCGTTACAAATTTTGAATGATTAACAATGGTATCATCGTAGGACCAAAAGTTTCATTACTTTGTATAAAATGACCACAAAACGGAATTTCAGTTGAAAAACTGCACCTGTTCAGTTTTCAAAGTCAAAAAAGTATGACGAGCACCTCGGTCGGCTCTCCCCCCCCCCCCCCAACCTCACAAAAGCATCAATTTGCCATAGCCTTATTAGTCCGTATGCCAATTTTAAAAACAATCACACAATGTGAACAAATTTTACATTAGTAAATTTTTGCAGTTGGGGGGAAGGAAAAAGAGCCCCTCGGTCCGCAATCAGAGGCTATTAAAATCAAAAACCGTTTTCAATTTTGAGCAAATAAAACTGGGGGCTCTTTTTCCTTTTCCCCCACCTGCTAAAATTTACAAGTTAAAATTTTGTTCAAATTGTTCGATTGTTATGAAAATTGACAAGCAGGCCATGACAAACATATTTGGACTTCATAATAAACCTTGTAAAACCACTCGCTACACCCTAAAACTGATGCTCATGTGAGGTGGGGTGGGGGGGGGGGGGCTGGTTTTTCTTAATTTGCTGTTTCTCCCTTCTTGTGATTTTCACCAAAAGGAAGCTTACGTTTTCCTTGCCTGATTGTTTTGAAAACTCACTTTGAACTGAATTGAGTTTGAGTTCGAGGCTCTTTTTCCTTTTCCCCCCACCTGCAAATTTTTACATGTAAATTTGTTGATTACATTGTCCGATTGCAATGAAAATTTACATACAGACTAATAGGGCCACGACAAACATATTTGGTCTTTATACTCAACCTCGTAAAACCACTCGTTAAACTAATATATTGAAGGTCGTGTGAGGTGGGGGGGAAAAGGAAAAAGAGCCGAGTTCGATGTAGGTCCGAATAAAATATGATCACAAAATATGAAATATATACATCAGGAATGCTTTACGGGTTATTCATCCCTTCAGGAAGCATCCTTTTATGTTACCTAGAACAGATTAAGAGCTCTAAAATAAAAATTACTGGTAGTCAAAAAAGTGAAAACATATTTTTATTCTCACGCACGTAAAACCTAGAGAACGTTTTACAAAAGACTTGAACCCAACTTCAGACAATGATTTGAGGTCCTTAAGAATTAAATTATTATCGACTAAACAATTATGAGCCTTGATGACTTTGACTGAAATCGACTTTTTAATTTTGGAGGTTCTAATGGGAGTAAACATTTTGTCTTAGATCTGGTTGATCTTACATTCCAACAATCATCTAAATATGAAAAAGTGAGTGCTGATTCTTTTCTGAGGAGTCTAAAAAATTTCACATGGATGGTATTAACCCAATTGCTAGCACATTTATCGTGAATCGAATCATGTCTAACTTTTTTCGCAGCGTTTGTATCTGATTCTGATAACTTTACATGTGCTGTGCGTTTTGGAAAAAAAACACGTGCAATTTTAATAGACTACCCGACGTTAACTAAGAAAACAATTGCGAAGTTCGCCGGCAAACAAGATTCCAACACAAAAGTCTACTTCAATCTAAACTGTCCTCAACTGTTCAAACTGTCTTTCTTCTGAGATTAAGATTAATCCCCAAATCGAACCACAATTTCTTGACAATGGTAAACTCATACCAGGCGAACTAGTCATAACTAACTGATAACTATGACTTATTAGCCGTAAATCAAGAGGTGATTAATTCGGATTTACCTTCCAAATATGGAGTCAAATAACGAGAAGGAAATCCGAGCTCGAACTGATAAAGACAGAATTCCACTACAGTCGTACTCACACGTCGGATCTGAGGTGATGACGACGTCAATTATTCGGTCTGATGACTTGAGTGCTGAGGTAGTAAATTATGTTTCTACTTTTAAGAGGCAGTCAAAGTTGCTTATATATTCTTTCATAAACCCCTTCTTTTGGGTTTATTGAAAAGGTTTCAATCTGAGAATGCCCCAACTTAATGATTTCATGAGGTCTCCCTTCCCTCGAGCACTCTAGTTTTTTTTACATCAGGGGCCAAATGGCTCGTTGCCAAATTCCAACTCTTAAAATTACGACATAACGTTGTCTAAAAATGTTCATAAGGCTATTTGCATGAAGAAAACACATTAGAAAAAAATCTGAAAGTTAACCTAAGTTAACGCTGAAGCTTTTTATTGCCGCCTAACGCTTTAAATTTTTGTAAATAGGTTTCTTTAATTGAATTTCAGACAAATAAACAAAAAAAAACAGAAGGTTATAAAACATAGTGTTGGGCGGGGTTATTTAATTGGGCTTTTTTCATTTTTCCACACCTGCAAACCTTAACAAGTAAAATTTTGTTCAAATGGTCCAATTATTATGAAATATGTTCAGGCTTCATGACTAACCTTGTAAATCCACTCTTTGCACCAATAAATTGATGCTGCTCGTGTGAGGTTACGATGTAGGGTATGAAGAACAAATCTGTTCACAGTTTGTTCACCATGCCAAGCTTCATTGCATTATAACTATGTTTTACAAAATTCAAAGGGTAGGTTTAGAAAACTATTTTCCACTGACCGCCCGCCCCCTCCCCACATTAGAATTTCAGTTATGGAAAACTAATTTTACATTGCCATTAAGTAAAGAAATTTCGCATTGTGAACAAACTAACTTTTGTGACCATTTTTTTCCCCAATTTTTCTAGCTTACTTCGTAACATCACGCATTCAGGCATCATAACACGTTGGATAAGACAATTAAAAATCAGATAATTTAAAATGTGGGGTAGCGGGGGGGGGGGGTTGTAAAAGAGCCCAAAAGAGCCAGTTTTCAATAGTTTTTCTCCACCATGTTTTTATAGGCCCACAAGACATCAAATTGTTTGGGGAGTTCTTGATTATGCAAGTAAAAGACAAAAAAATTCTTCAAACTATTGAAGCAGATGATAATGACGAGGCTGAAAGAGTTTCCTACTACGCTATCATCATTTTAAACAAATTGTTTAAAAGAACCCAAACAAATAAAGCCTAATGGTACCCTCAATTAAAACTTTTATTAGGTGGCAGCTGAGCCGAACAACCGGGCGGCGGCACTTATGGAAGAAGAGGAGCCGAGCAAGACTTCGCGGCAGTCGTGGTCGAACCATCTTGACTTCGTGATCACTCTGCTGGGTTTTGCGGTTGGACTGGGCAATTTGTGGCGCTTCCCTTATCTATGTTTCCAACACGGAGGCGGTACGTATTTGCGTTAATTCAAGCTACTATATTTGTTTTTGGCTGAATTTGTGTTTCGAAAATACTTTTTTCAAATTAATTTTTTAATATTAATTTTTTCAGTAAATGCTGCTGAGCTCTGATATTTTGTTTTCATTAGGAAATTTTACCATTGGTTGGCCAAATAAATAGCGTAAAAAAGCAAAATAGCTAAACTTTTAGGGGTTCGAAATCTTGGCAAACTGTTAATTCAGAAAAAAGATAGATGACCAGGGTGGAATTGGGGGAGGGGTGAGATTAAGGAGGCGGGGAAAGGCGGGGATTTTGGACGCTCTTCAATTGGCATGTTGTGATTGTTCTTACTCAATTATCTCATTTTGGCTCTTTTCCAGTTTCCCACCTCCCGGGTAAAATTCCAAAGTAGGCGGCTCAAAAATTGTTCACACGGTATTTTGCATGTAAAAAATGTTGTCAAAATTTGTTCACTTGTTCACGCTGACACGTTTTGATGCAGTTTATAACCTGAAAAATATTTTTAAATAGACTTTCACATATTGAATTTCAAAAAAAATCAAAGGGGGGACTGGAAAAGAGCCCTCATTTTAATTAACCGGTCATAAATGACATTGACTATCGCAATTGACCTCCTTCGGAGTGAGCAAGCGTCAGTGTTATTGTGTCTTAGTTGTAATTAACACATTTTTAATTGAACTCTAGTCTTTATCTTTTTTTATTTTAAGCTAGATTAGTTCGAGTTTTAGTACATTTTATTATGGCGCAGTCTTCTCTAAATGAATATGGCATGATACTATCGATCCCTCATTCCAATGGGAAGATTGCAGGGATATGTTCCAATTGGCATTAAAAGCTAAAGAGAATATCGATATAGATAACTTATTCAATCCACTGGAATTTCCGAAACCGGAGATTTCACAATTGTAGGAAAAACCTCGAAGCGAATCGACGACGGCAAAAATGGAACGCTTAGCTTAGAATGCAGAAGAAAGAAGCAGATTCAATGATTCCAAAAACGCCCGAATCAAATTGGACACCAAGAAATTCAATGGAGTGCGAATGGATGAAGCAGACAAAAAGATCCACTTCATGCTATACCCAGCACTTGGCAATGAGAATAGGAGATTTTCATATTCTTCTCAAAAAATTTTGCAAATGTCAAAGTCTTTCGGGTAAGTTTTGCCGAACTTTGGTATCTTTAAACCAAGTTTTTATTAGAAAACCCAATGTAACATTCGAACGCCATAAGTTACTCAGTAGACGCCAGAGAGACAGTGAAAGCTTGGAACCGTTCTGGGGCGCTCTAGCAGAAATGGCAAAGAACTGCGATATATCCAGCGGGAGGATGAGCGCGATTTGTCCATCTTGTAATTTAAAACGACATATCACAAAAAATTGTAAATCTCGAAGAAAAAACGTATATTCTGTATATAATCTGGAACTTGTAGATACCGAAAATGTAAATCTGTCGTATCAACCTGCTGTAAAAAACGATGTACATAAGAATTGTTGCGGTGTAATTATTTGCATGGTCGTAAAAAAGACAAAGTGATAACGACGATCATTCGGTATTAAACGTGACGACGATATTTGACAATAATGGAAAATAAATGAAGAAACTACTTAACATTGGATTGGAAAGGAAAATTTCGTACTTCTAAGAATACAGGTGGACTCAGCTAAACCACTAAGCTTTTTGAAAAAAAAGTACCTCACTAACCTAAACTACGTGATCCACAATTCAAAATTATTGCTGTCGACCAAGCTACGAAACACCTCTACTGCGCCTTCACGGATGATCCGATAACGATTGTGAGACAAGTCATCGTGCCAATAAGATCCAACCAATGAACGTACAATGATACAGCTTTCTTCATAACCGATGGGCACGATTGAAACATCCTTGGAAATGACAATCCACCACACGTCGGAACAGAAGTCGTGCAAAAACTTTTTCCACACTACCAGAACAGCATTAAAAGCATTGAAAGTAAATCATTCAAAAACTCCGTCAGATTATACAAGATTGGAACAGAAAATAGTTTCAAGAAATTCAATCAAATAGTTAACAGAGTTGTGTGAATAATGAACTAACTCAAGAGTACCCATTTTCACGAACCGCTGAAACCAATACAATTAAAAGAGCGTAGGGTTCCGCTATTTCCATTTCGGCGCTAAGCAAAGAGCTCGACAGACTAATCTTAGAAGTACACATTAAAAAGCTAGAATCATGCGACAAAGATAAATTTATCAGCCAAATAGTAATAACCTGCAAGAAAGATAAATCAATATACTTCGCGTTAGACGCAAAATTTTTAAACAAGCAAACTTTCAAAAAGAAATACCAGATTCCAAACATAGATGAACTAGTAGATAAAGTTGAATCTCAACTATCAGAAAAAATGGACCGAGAATTCTGGTTTAAGAGTTTAGACCTTATACAGCCATTTTAACTTAGAAGACTTTACGAGTAAACAATGTAATTTCAGTATCGTTGGAGGAAATTTAACTGGTACCAATCAGTTTTTAACGGTGTTAGACGGACTTGTCGATGTATCAAAAAAATTCTAAAGAGCAATGGACTCAACTATTGGTAATATTCCTTTTACTGTCGTTTACTTCGATGATATTTCAATATCTTCCACAAGAAGTTTTAAAAAACGTAAAAAAAACGTTGAAAAGATTTTAACTACAATTGACAATAATATTTTTGCTGTCAAATCGCGGCAACGCTAATTTCTCAAACGGGGAATTCAGTGCCATGGTTTCAAATTATCTAATTAAGGAGTAATCCCACTGGAAGAAAAAACCTTAGCAAAAAAATCTATACCAATCCCTCGGAGCTTGAAGAAGTTACGCTCATTTTTCGTATCTACTAATCAATTTATGAAATTCGTACCAAACCTCGCATCATCGGGAAGTCCATTGAGACCACTTTTTAACAAGAAATTGATATTCACCTGATCAGATGACCATACCATAGCTTTCGAGAAAAATGAAACAGAAATTGTTAACTTAACCGATAATACACGCTTCGATGTTAAACTGAACACAAAAACAAAATCCGACGCATCGTAGGCGCAACACTCGCGCAAATCCAACGAACCACTGAAGATTGGTTTCCTTTGCTAGCTTTTTTATTTGAACTCGAACTCCTCGGCGTTGTTTGTGCTGTACAACACTGCAAAGATTTTTTATACGGCTCGGAATTTGAAATCATAACAGATCATAAAAGCCGATTGTCAGTATTATTGTGTAACCATGGAAATCAAACCTATCAGAGCCGGCTAACAAGATGAATTGACCAACCTTGTGGTTTAAATTTCTGAAAAAAAAACACCTAGCGGGCAAAAATATGGGCTTGACGGATTTGATTTCTTTAGTTCCGATTGGAAAACCAATCGCTCCTTCAAATTAAGACGAAGAATTTTTCGAGGCAAAAAACAGTGAAATTATTTCAAATCTAAATCCGTCGGATATTCAGATTTTTTTATAAACTAAAGTCCCAGTTAAATTTGTTGGACAAAAATCGTAAAATTCCATTGACATAATACTACGTAACAAAATTTTCGCATCAATTCTAAATCTAGTAAGCTCCAGATTGAAAATTTCCAATTTTGATCATTTCCGTTCCAATTTTGTACTTATAATTGTATTCCCTTTGATTATTCTACAATTAACTGTTCTAAATTTACCATCTCAAATTTTTCATTTGTATGTCTTTTATCTTTACATTCGATGTATCTTAAATCTCCCACGGAATCTTATTATTTAAATAGTGTAATTGTAAATAGTGGAATTGTAATTACTCCTTCATCATCCTGTATTGTTGTAAACTTTACTGAGGAGAATATGTCTTCAGACCAGTCTTCACAAGTAAAATATAAGAATGGTTTTTCTAAAATTGTCAGAAAAACCCTTGGAATTGAACAACTTTCTTAGTAGCAAAAGAATCGTTTGGCTTACCGAAGAAGATAGTAGTTTTTACCCCATGGTTGGCGTTCTAGAAGAGAAAAGGGATATTCAAACTACTAAATTGGGCAGCTATTTCAATCATTTTCACAAAGACATTTTACTGCCAACGGATTACTCTATAAGATTAAGAAATTATACCTGAGATGGGCCGCCATGAAACTTCTCCGTGAAACCCATGCTTGACTATTCGGAATGAAATTCTTTTCGGAATACTTCTGGTGGCCTTATATTAACAGAAAGGCTCACTTCCATGGAAAAATTTGCTCGGATTGTATAAAAGCAGTTAAAAATCTTATGCCGCTAATTCCTGAAAAACTTTATACTCACTTCCCCAATCTTAAATTCGTAAATAAAGAAATTGATTTGAAATAGCAGGTCCATTAGATCGTGCGACCATTAAAAAAACCTTCTACTTTGTATAGATAGATTCTCCAATTTCCCTTTGGCGAAAATTACTTTAAATACTTCAGCTAAAACAGTGCTCGATTTTCTTACCGATTATATTTATCTTCATGGAATCCCAATTTCAATTCGCGACGACCACGTTTCGTGCTTTACTGGAGCAAAATTAGAATCATTTTGTGATTCAGATAACATAAATAAATTAAATTTTACATTTGCCGACCACCGTTCCAACGTTTTAGTGGAAAAACTTTTTCATACCGTTAAATCAAAGTTACAAACAATTTCTTCGAAACTACCAAAGCCTTCACGTACGGACTCAGCCTCTCATTTCATTTGGAATCCACAAAGCAATAAACGTGCGAAATTAAAATGCATTTCGTTTGAAAAAAGTTTCAACAGAACACCAAATACTCCGTAGAAAGTTTTGATCAACCTAAACAGTAGTGAATTTTTAGACAACGGAAAATCAATTATGTCAAGAAACTAGGCACACAATTTTGCTTGGGATGATAGAATAAAAGACAAAGACCTGGACACTCCATTGGACAACAAAAACCAAAACCTCAAAGACAAAGGATATGGTTCAGAACCAAGCCCCTGGCCGACCAAGACTTTTTCAGCGACGA